TGAGAGATTCTGTGTTGAAAAATAAAGTGGAGTTTCCCCTGGTGCTGAAGCTCAGGTGCATACAAAATTCAGCTTCCCAAATAGCCATGGTCTAGGAAGGCACTGTTGCTGGAGACTGAAGGGATGTTAGTACTACTTTACAAGAGATGATACAAACCTCCCTCACCCATGATGGCTTAGCATGTGGAATTTGTGAAGCTGCCAAAGCCTTGGACCAAGCCCCACACCTATCTTTATGCGCTGGAGTACAACTGTGATGAGCCTATGTACGTCAACTTGGTGGAGGCACTTTGTGTTGAGAACAAAATCAGCCTAATTAAGGTTGGTGACAGGAATGAGAAATGGTTGGATGCAGTTGTGTGATGGTTAAGGACTATCTCTAGCAAAGAATCTCAAAGAACCTTGGAATGCAAGCAATGAACAAATAGTTGGCTCAGTAAAATGAATAAATAAGGCGGAGGGCTGGGGAGATGGTTCAATGGGTGGAGCTTCATGAGTAGCATGAGAAACTGTTCCCATTTCCAGAGCCACATAAAGCCAGTGCTATACAATCCCAGCTCCGCTCCAGTCAGGCAGGCAGGCCAGCAGGCCAGTTCCCAGAGTTCAGGTAAACAAAAGGAAGGGACCCTGTCTCAAACAAGGAAGTAGACAAGGACTGATACCTGAAGTTGTCCTCTGACCTCTACATGTACACTGCGGCAAGTATGTGCTCACATCTGCACACATAAACAGGAGCAAATACATGCATCATCAAAAAAAAAAAAAAGGAAAGAAAGAAGAAACACACTTAAAGGTTAGAGAGATGGCTTAGGAGTTAAGAACACTTGTTCTTCCGAGGACCTGGGTTCAGTTCCCAGCACTCAGGTATTACCTTCTGTAACCCCAATACAGGGGCTCCAATATCTCTTCTGACTTCTGCAGGCTCCTGCATGTATGTGGTGCACATACACATAAATAAGATAAACATGTTTTTAAGACTTCCAAAAAAAAAGTGTAGAGAGATAGAAGACACTTTGACCTTCGGCCTCTTCATACATAGGCAAGAACCCATGCAGTTTTGACCTCGTGCGCTCTCTCTCTCTCTCTCTCTCTCTCTCTCTCTCTCTCTCTCACACACACACACACACACACACACACACACACACACACACACACACACACACACACACACCAGGAGAAAGGAATATCGAAAGTAATTCAGATTGCAGAAAACAGGTAAAGAGAAAGCAAACTAGCTATAAGTAAGCGCAATACATATAAACAAATGTGAGAGAGAGCGACCTTGTTAGAGTGCCACAGGGAAACAAGAAGAGAGAGAACATCAAAAGGGAGGTGGAATAAGCAAGCTGTAGTCCCCTAGTGATCTGCCATCCCCTCACGCTGTCTCCACAGGACCCTGTATCTTGTGAGGCAAACTCGAGAGTGTGGCTGTCGGCCTCACCGTGCGCCAGGCGGTCCCTTTGGCCCTGTTCCCACCCCTCACACATGCCTTGCTCTTCCAGTTTCCTGTCTCGCCACCACTCCTTCTCCTACTCACCCTCTAAAGCAACCTGAGAGATAAAACTCTTACTGTACATGACAGTTGTAATTTTATGATTATGATTTTGATTATTGAGTCTCCTTACTATTCAGGAGACTCAAGAAACCACCACGCACCTCTGTGTGGTGACTAAACACAGCATGCTAAATGAACAGAGAAACCTGCTGAAATTATGACAAGTGGAAAGGTCATGTGGCACCAGGACATGAATATAAGTAAGAAAGTCTAAGGTGGTAAGAAAATTCAACACAAGGACAATACAGAAGGTCCAATAAAGAAGTTACAAAACAACGCAGAATTACACAGAATTCTCCTTAATACATAAAACATATTCTAGAGCAAAGATTGCAAACATTCACTCTCAAGTGAATGTTTGGGGCCCAGCAGAGCATTACCATTACTTCTCGGTCCATTCACAATAAATGGCACTAGTTCCTAGTACCTCATACTAAACCTCAAAGAATGATCTTGGAGTCTTTCTTTACTCTCATTTTAAGTAGGTATTTATGAATAAATCTTATAAACTCTATACCGAACTATCTTCAACCTCCCGACTCTCCTTTTCCATTTTTCAAGCCAGGCTAACTTCTACCAAGATTGCTACAATGTTTTGTTTGTAATTCATCTCCCTTTTATTCTTACACTTTTGTAATTTATTGCAGACAGGGCAGCCAAAGTGACCTTAAAAAAAAAAGTCTCATGTATCCCACAGGGATGACCTTGAACTTCTGATTCTCCTGCTTCCACCTCCCTAGCACTGGGGTTACAGGTGTTCACCACCCGTCTGTTTTATGCCATGCTGGGGATCAAACCCAAGACTTTATGTAACAGGCAAGCACTCTACTACTAAGCAAGTACCGCAGACATACATGTATGTGTAAATCCTATTAGGACACTTTTTTGCTCCCAGTTCGCCAATGGCTTCCTACTACTTGGAATGAGACATAATTACAATCCTGTACCACAGAGCTTCTACCACTCTCTCCCTTTATTCTAAGCAGTGAAACCACACACCACCTCTGAACCCTCATGTGTATCACCTCCTTTGAAACATCTCATGATTAAGGTGTGTATTTGGCATCACCTCTTTAAAGACACCTTTCTTTCTTTTCTTTCTCTTTTTTTTCTTTCTTTCTACCTTTCCTTCTCTCTTTCTTTCTTTCCTTTTCTGTTTTGATTTTTCAAGGCAGAGTTCCTATGTGCAGCCCTCGCTGTCCTGGAACTTGCTCTAGAGACCAGGCTGACCTCGAACTCAGAGATCTGCCTGTGAAGCTCTCCATGCTTATTCTGCAGCCTTGATCACATCGTAATGATCTAGTTTATTCATTAACAGCAAAGGTGTTCTAGATAAAAGAATATGACAGTAAAACTACAAGTTAATTGGTTCAACAGCGCTTTTATTTCTAAAAGGCTGGAAAGCAGAAAGAAATCATTTGATAAATTGACAAGAACATAAAACAGTATTCCATGTACACATGTGCAGATTTTTGAGCACAGGAGGCACCAGAACATTACAGAGAGATGTCAAGTCTGAGCAGACCTCAGTAAACTGCTGGAAGTTTTGAAAACTGCGGGTCAGACTGTTCTAAATGCATTGCTTGGTTCTTTTACTGGTTGAGAGTGTCTTCCATTAAAATAAACATTCCATGAAGGTACACTAGGGCACCAAAAATTTTTGAGGAGTTAAGAAAAACCTACATTTTTCTACTGTCAGAGAAACCAAAGCATAATATAGGGATCTTTAAAATACTAAAGCTAGGGGCTGGCGAGATGGTTCATGAGTCAAGACCAGCTGCTGTACCTATATGGTGGCTCACAAGCAAATACTTGCAGTTCCGGGTGACAGGATGCCATCTTTTCACCTCTGTGGGCACCAGGTTGTACACACATGCAGGCCAAGAATCACACACAGAAAATAAATGCTTAAGAAAAGGTTTTAAAAATAATAAATCCTAAAAACCCTCATAGCTGTAATCCTAGTGTTTGAGAAGCAGAGGCAGGAGGATTTCCAGAAGTTCAAGTCTGGCCTGGCCTACACCATGTGCCCCTGTCTCAAAACTATTTAATTACTGAATGAGACAAGGTGGAAACCAAATGTTCATTCACATCTGTACATTTATAGACACTAAGTTAGGATAAACGAAAGCCACCAACAATGGCATCAATCTGTTAGGGATGGCGTGGTGCTTGTTCTGGCCGCCCTGTGCTTATCCACACAGAGTTTAAGCTGAATTAGAGGCCTACAGACGCCCAAAATTTACAAAAGCCTACGAGTCTAACCCTCTTCCTGGTGAATATGAACATCAGAAAGCCATCTACTGAGTTTCCAACTTCCACACAAAAAACCAACAGGCACAGCACTACAAACCGCTCCTCTCTCCGCCTGTTGACAGGTTACCTACCGTGGTCAAACTAGTGTTAGTGTGGAGGTCATATGAAATGAACTCAGGAAAACACGCAAGCCTTCTTTATCTTGTGAGGAAAATCACAGAAAGGTTTCATCACTTTTTATATAAAGTCTAGCTTGCAAAGCAAGGCAAACTTTTCTTCCCCCCTCCCCCACTTCATAAACTCAATTACCAGAAAAATTAAATAAAGTCGTGTTAACGTTTACGTCCCCGGTCCACAGCTGTAATTAAATGTAGCTGTATTGTGATGGTCTTTATACAGGCACAGACAAGAGACCAACACCCCCCAACCAAAACAAACCTATTAACCGGCTTAGTCCACCAACTGAAAGAGAGTTAACTCTGCCTCATAAGCGACTAAAAATGGAAACACCCTACCTAACTCTCTTAGTCTCCCTGCCGGTCCCCAAACTGACACCGTGAAGCTCCTTCTCTCTCTCTCTCTCTCTCTCTCTCTCCTTTTTTCCCCCCTCCTATACACTGTTTTACAAAGTATCCCCAAACACTCCTCCTTAGACTCTCGGGTCTAACCTGCACCCCCAGGGCAGCGGCCAGCCTGGGGTGCTTCCAACCAGGGAGGCCGGGAAACGACAACTCCCTCCCCTCTCCCCTGCCTGCCGGGGTCGGCCGACTCCCACCAAGCTTCTCGGTCTGAAACTTTCCACGAACGCGGAGCCAGCCCCGAGTGCAGCAGCCGGCTCTCACCCGCGAGAGCGGCCATCGGGGGGAAAAATAAATAAATCAATCAATAAAAATAAGGAGATGGGGAGACCGGTCCAAGCCTTCCGGGGTCGCAGGCCGCCCCGGGCCTCGGCTCGCCTCGCGCCGGCCTGCCCGAGCCCTCGCCCCGGGCGGACCCGAACTCGGCGCGCCCGCGGCGCGTTCCCCTGGCCCGCCATCGACCTCCCGGACCCCCGCGGTCCCAGGCCCACCTGGAGCACACAGCTGAGTATCACGGCCCCGGGGGACCCCCGGGGTCGCGAATGTCCCACCCACCACCACCACCACCCCCGCCTCAACACCCTCCCCCTGAGGGGGAGCCACGAACGTACCTTCCAGAAAAATAGCCTTCCCCGCGCTGCCGCCGCTCTTGCCCGCCGCCATCTTCCTCTTCCCACGCCGCCTCCTCCTCCTTACTCCATGGCCGGCACCGCCGCGGTGCTCGCGGGGAACCGGGGCCGCGCGGCGGGAGGGTAGCAGCCGCAGGTTGGCGGGCCTCGGGCTCGGTCGTCCGCGAGCGAGCGAGCGAGCG